ATTTAATGGGATTCGTTGACGGGACTTCCGTCTGTCCGCCTCTCACCGTTTCAGCTGGAAATCAAATAGTGCCAAATCCAGCCGCAACAACTTGGATTCGCTAGGATTAGCTCTTGCTTCATGCAATTTTCGCATCCGTATCCGAAGCCGTGATTCCTCTCATTGGCTCTTGCAATTCGTCACACACTGCCTCGACAAAACTCATGAATTTATATGCAAATAAATCCCACTCAAGAGTTATGCATCTCAAGGATCAACTCTCTACCACTCACCGAAACTCACGTTCTGTTTCAGATTTTTTGCAAGAACTTAAAGTCCTTGCGGATGAATTAGCAATCATTGACACTCCTCTCTCTCTAATGATGATTTAGTCATTCATGCACTTCGGGGACTTGGAACCAAATACAAAGAAATCGCAGCAGCGATTAGGGCTCGTGAAAACACAATTAGCTTTAAGGAAATGCATGACAAGTTAGTGGCCTATGAAACCCAACTAAAACTAGAAGAAATCAGACTTGAAGCAGCACCAGTCAGGACTCACTACAGCAACAAAACCCGTGGTGCAGGAAGCAACTCCCGTTGGCCCAACAATCGCAGAAACCGTCATCAAAATTATTCCCAATCTAACCAACATCGTGGATCCTCTCACAGAAGGTATTCTGATCGGGACAGCAGAGAGCCTTGTCCGACATGTCAGTTTTGCGACCAATACGGACACTGGGCCAAATCTTGTTTTCGAATCCGAAACAGTCTCCGCGAGCCTATTGCTCATGTTGCAATAGCTCCACGTCAAGAAAAGAGCTGGTTACTAGACTCGGGAGCATCACACCACGTCCCAAGCAACCTCAACAATCTCACCACTCACTTAGAGTACAAAGGCCTCGACGAGATCGTCATTGGTGATGGCACAGGTTTGCGTATTAGTCACGTTGGTTCTCAACGTTTGTGAATGATTTTCATTACTATACAATTACAGATTACACACGTTTATGAAGAAAAGAAAAAATACAATCTTTGGCAGAGCAAAAATCAGGAAATGCCAACTCATAAATAGTTGGTAAGCTAATTTGAAATTCAACAAAAAAGATATCAAAAAGATTTCATATCTTAACACATATATATTTGTAGTGAAATAATGTAACCTTGATATTTCATTATAAAAATTTAAATTTTTAGGACAAATGAAAATTTGGACAACTAAGACCGGTTCCAATTTTTTGGAATTGGGAGTCACAGGGTCGGTCTCTGAGTATAGGCCGGGAACCGATCCACCCGGAAACCACCCCCTAGTAATCGAGGTCCATGCGAACTAGACCAAACACAATCTGACTCTAACATTGATTACGAAAAGGAAAATCAATAGTTTTTCGGGCAAAATGTCGTACGATATAGAAGACAATTGCACTGCCGTTTAAGATATGGAGATCTCAACCTCGATAGACCTACTACACCGTTTGTCAACGAAAACTAGCACATGTAGGGTTTTCAACCGATGTATAAGGAAATTTACAAGTCTAGGGACCACAAGTTGAATATGGGACGGAGAAGATCAGACAGCAGCCAAAGACGGAGAAAAATCTCGCACAAAGTGCCAATTCCTGACTTTTCTTCAATTCTCTTTTTTCTAATTTTCCGCCGTAGACTTTATGCACATGGGACAAGAATGTTTCGTTCCACTATAACGCATTGGGCAAGCTGAAGACTTCCGACATCATTGATCAGACTATTACTTTTCTTCCTTTTCCTTTTCCAGGATGATAAGCTTTTATATTATCCACTTTAAAGTCCAAAATATGGAAAATAGTGTAGTTATGAAAACTTGTAAACAGTATGGACAGACTGATTTGACTTGATTATGAAAAGTTGAAGGAAAAAATTGAATAAATTAAAAGTTTAGGAACTATATTACACAATTTTACATGTCTTTGGGGACTAGATTGCACTTTTCACAATAGTTTAGGGACTCGCAAGTCCATGGATAATTTGCACATTAAACTAAAATATGGAGATTATTTATGTCATTTTCCCAATTCTAAAAGGTGTTTTTGAGGTTGAGACATGGTTTGCATTACATGAGCTTATTTGTCACGGATGTGACTTTAAATTGAATTTGAATTTACATGTCTGTTGTTGATTTTATTCATATCCGAACACATTAAGTTTCGAAGTTGTTTAGATTTACTCCCATAAAAGAAAGGAAGAGCAAATGCAAAAGAACATGTCACATGCAATATTCACACCAGAGATGATTCTGAAATCTTTTAAAAGCAACAGCCACAAGCAGAGACTACTGGCTTTTATTGTAGGCCTTTATTTGGTATGATGGTAATATTTATTGGTATAAATTAGCAGGGTACAAAAGCATAGTATAACAGTATAGCAACTCTAAAATTTAATCTCCTTCTCATTCTCTAGTGGACAACTTTTTGATTTTATGTCTCCTTCAAGAGCACCGGACCGGGCCTTTCCGAGCCATAATGGCTCATAACTGCATGGATTTTCGGAGGCATGCCCTCTAACATAAAAACCTCATTTTGTCATATGGTGGCTTATTAGGACTAGCTACCAAAGTCCATTTTGCTAATCCTTTGGCATATGAATTGAGGTATCTAAAATGCAAGTTTCATCAATCACAGCTTGAATACTAAGTAGAGTTCCGTAAGGCCAGTACCTCTTTACTCTTTTGAGGACCATAAGTTTGGATCCCTAGCAAGGTGTCTTCATCTTTTTCTCCTTCATTGAATTGGGATTTGAGGCTACCATTTCCTGTCTTAGAGATGGCCCAAGGAGCATTACTACTTGAGTCCATGTCCCTGAATCCTTGATCCCCTGTTGCAGGTTGCTGTCAACCCCATTTACTACTTCTGCTAATTCTTCCTCAATTTCCCCCAGAGTCATTCTAGACAGGCTGGTAGTTCTTACATCAAAGTGCACAATCCGATAAATTGTTTCATCATCTTCAGCTGTAACATTATATTTTCGGTAGAAAGCTTTCTAGAAAGGGCTTGGCTCATGATCTTCAACCCTCAACCATTGGCCAAAACAAATTGCTGAATCACCCATCCTACCCACAAATAACAGTCATGGGGTAGTCTTTCGTATTTAAAGTCCGGCTAAAGTTTCCTTCCTTCCAGACTAGTCAGAGATCCAGACTTCAAAGGTGTCTCCAGATTGATCTCAATTTTGGCTCTGCCAATTGTATGGGTTGCCAGACCTTTAACATCAACTCTAACTTCCAAAACATATAGCTCTGCGCACAGCTTCCTCCGAGAACCACTTATAAGGCAGTTCATAACAACGGGTTCGGGGCGGGCCGGGGTTGGGTTTGTGAAAGACCTATTAATCCAAGCCACAACTAACCTTGGGTTGGATATGAAATCTCACTAGTGAGGCTAATAAGGTCATGCGAGAGCTCAAACAATTTAAGGGGCCACTTTTTAAAAATTGTTCAAAAAGTTCTTAACCTATTGCACTTTTGCCAATTCAGTCTTAAACCTTTCAATTTGCCAATTGAATCCTAAATATTTTCTTGATTTGCCAATCGAGCTCATCAGGCCAATTTTAGCTTAAGATCATTAACGTGGACGCCAACCGTCCTATGTGGCGCGACTAACACTGACTTGGACAATTTTTAATAAATTTTTATCAATTTTTTTTATTTTTTTCTTTTCATTCTCTTTCTTTTTCTTTTCTTTTTTCTTTCCTTCTTCCTCCTCTAGCCAATCGTCTTCCTCTAGCAAAGCTTGCCCCCGCCGGCCACCAGCAAGAGCAAGCCTCGCCAAGGGCGAGCGAGGCTTGCCCAAGGACCTCACCAGCCCTCGCCTCTAGCCAGTCGTCGGCCATCACCAATGCTTGGCGATTAGCTAGAGGAGGAAGAAGGGAAGAAAAAAGAAAGAAAGAAAAAAAGGAAAAAGAAAATAACAAATAAATTCAAAAAATATTAAAATATTATTAAAAAATTTCCACGTCAGAGTCGGACATCCTACGTGACATGACCAACGACCACGTCAACGATTTCTGACGAAAATTAGCCGTATGGACTCAATTGGCAAAACTAAAAGGTTTAGAACTGAATTGTCAAAAGTACTATAGATTTAGGATTTTTTTGACAATTTTCCCCTTTTATTTCCTAGAGTTCAAAGAACATCTAATTAATAAGAAAGTTTATAAGTCTAGAAAAAAGAAACCCTCGTCGCTTATGCTAAAATAAAAGCGACTAAACCTTCCAAAAGGCTTGGTCCTCAAGCGAACTATGTATATAGCTGACCACGAGTTAGAATATGAGTCGGAGAAGATCAGGCGGCAGCCAAAGAAGGAGAATCTCATGTAAGTTTCCAATTCCTGACTTTTCTTCATTTTTGTCCTCTTTTTCTTCGCCATAGACTTTCTTCAATTAGGACAAAAACTTCTCATTTTACTGTAACATATTGGGGCAAGCTGAAGCTTCTGGCGTCATCGATCAGACCATCAATTTTTTCCTCTCTTTTTCGTCCAGGATGATAAGCTTTTACATTAACCACTTTAAGGCCTAATTCTAAATGGTGTTCTTGAGGTTGAGAAACGTTTCATATTCACGAGCTTATTTGGTGCGCATTTGACTTTGATTTGTGTTGTAATTTACATGACAAGCTTTTCATTACGCGTGGGGTAACAAGCAATTTCAGCGGGTACAAAAGTGCAGGGATTCTTATGCTTCTATGCTCCTTCGAGTTTTGATCGTATCCTGCTGATAGTACGTGCATCTTCTCATAGTCTTCATATAAAGCCTCATGCCCTATAAAAGTTGATAAAAGGATGAGATCTTTTAATTAGTGATCAATAGCTGTAGCAAAGGAATATTTTTTTAGAGATTGTAAGAGCACCAGTGTTTACGTCGAGAGTTTTTAGGAATTTTACTGATATTGAGGTCATTCCATCCTAAACTTTTGGAAAAGAGGGCCAATTGATTGAGAATATGACAGCTGATAGTATAAACTGTAAAGTACTTTTCCTGTATTTTAGTACAATTATGCAGCTTATAGCAAAAGATTGCCTATATACCTCAAGAAAAATCTGACCCCGTGTATTTTTCTTCCTAGATGTACACAAACAAATCAGGCCTGGCCTAATTCTGATGTGAAGGCATGTGGATGGCCATTGCCATCTCAGACAGTCTGTGCTCCACATTCTTCACCACTTGCCTCCCATCAAACTCCTCAATCAACGGTGTGGTGTTCGAGTCGAGATAGTGCAAGAACAGGACCATGGAAATGGAGCAAACAAACATGGGTATTGGTCCGAAGAACCAGAGAAGCAAGTTCAGAGCAAAGTACAGTGCCCTGAGCCCAAGAGACCAGAAATCGCCACCTCGGATAACAGCAACCTCGACCCTCTTCAGAGGGACGTTCAGACTCGGCGTGCTGATCAGGTAGTTGGCATGGACGAAGTGCCGGGCTGACTGGACAAAGCATGAGAAGGCGACGAGGAAGAAGATTAGGAGGCTGACGTACTTGATGGAGAGGGTGGTGAGCTGGGTGTCGCCATAGATGAGGTCGCTCTCAAAGAAGTTGTTGGTGGTGTTGCTGATCCAAGCGCCGATCAGGGAGCAGAGGGTGAGCGAGACAGAGGACAGGAACGTAGCCGCGGTTATGTTGGCAGAGATGACAGAGATGCACGGGCCAATGTCCCTCCTCTCACCCTGCAAGATCCCATTGTGTTAATAATTTGTGCTTTGATTGATCAGAAATGGCACAGAAACAGCACAAGCACCCGAGTTGATCAAGTTTCGGCTCTTTTCACAATGACCCTTCTCGTGAATTTCGTACAAGCCGAGCTAGCGACCATTAATTCGATAAGGGCAACCAATAAGAGAAAGGCACGGGTCACAGTTTATAGTTTTTGACGGTCCAATGCGTGGGAATCAGGGGAGTTCGAATTCGGCTGCGCTCTCGGGCAATCTTTAATTGATCGAAGAATGTATAGTGGGACTAAAATAGAACTGGATGGAGAGAGATATGACCTGCATGATGGCCTGAACCCAGAGGCGCTTGTTGTAGTTCTCAAAACCCATGACAGTGGTGTGAGGCTGATGGAGGTATCTGTAGAGGAGGAACAGATGGTACCCGAACATAATGAGCAAGCCACTCGGAACCAGCACCACATCGAGATCTTTCTTCTCAAACCCCATTCTTTTGGTTCTCTCTTAAGTGTTGCTCAGTTACTTGACTCTATCAGAGGAAGAGAGAGTGGATGATTAGGTGTATTCGATTCCTTGGCTGCTTGCTTATGCAAATTGTTAACGTTTTTTTTCAATTTATGTGTAATCCATGTTGGACTTCCAATTCGAGTAGATAGGAACATGTGAAACCCCGAATGAACATCCCAGTCCTTTTTCTGGTTCCTACATCGCAATCCAATCATAACCACCAAAATTAATGTTTCTTGCATTTCCGAAAAAAGATGGTCCTAGGATTGTAGTTATTCTACTGTATAATGATATGCTTTAGCTAGTTTTCAATTCGTATTACTACTAAACCTTCTGAAAAGGAGATAAGATCAGGAAAGGGAAAATAACACTAACAGTGTCATAACTCTCAATTGACGCTCATTTTAATAGCAAAACTTTTCAATGGATCACGTCAATGCCACTTTGGTAAAAGAACGATTACTTAAGTATCAATTTCGATTTGGGATGCCAGAAATCCGATGCGACAATATTTTAACAATTTTTCCAACCGACATGACTTGTCAGAAATCTGATGCGATAAAGTTTAGTGAAATGTGATTACTTGAGTGCCACTTTTTATTGAAAGTGATCACTTGTGATTTTTAACTTTTTAAAAAGTGATTTGTTGGTTTTACTTTCTTAGACATGATTGGACCACTTAATTTGCAACATACAATGCATACAAACTTGGAAACACATACAAAAACAATTACTCCATCAACAATGGCTTAGATTCAAGGGATAATGACACAAATGGTCTTTAAACTTTGTCTTAATGTGCAAAGTGGTCCATAAACTTTCAATTTATTCAATATGGTTCCGAAACTTTACCCCAATATGCAATGTGGTCCTTAAACCTTTAATTTGTTTAATATGGTCCTTGGACTTTTAGTGCATATTCAATTTGGTTCCTAAACTATATAAAAATGATCAATATTGCCCTTTCCATTAATTTAAGTTTAGGGACATTTTCATAAAGTGCAAGAAATAAATTAAACATGTACCAAAAGTCCAGGAACCACATTAAACAAATTAAAAGTTTAGGGATCACATTGCATATTATGCCAAAATTCAAGAATCATTTGTGTCATTTTCCCTAGATTCAAATCAAACAACATTACATTATTTGTCATCTTAGCTTTGGTTGAAGATTAACTTGTTTGCAATCCTTTGCAAATATAATCCTAATTATCAAAACATAATCTGCTAATAAAAAACAAGAGATTTTAGTAGGCCTAATTCCCTAAAAAACCCTCAACTTTAGGTCAAGTCCCAAATCTGCCCCGAACTTTTTTTTGTCTCAGAAAAACCCCCAACTTTAGGTCAAATCTCAAATCTGCCCCGAACTTTTTTTTCTCTAAGAAAAAACCCCAAACTTTAAGTTCAGTCCCAAATCTGTCCCAAATTTTGTTGTGTAAAAAAAATCACCCCATGATCTAGTCCAAACTTGATGTGGCACTTCTACGTCAATAACAAATCTACATCAACGTCAATAACAAATCTACATCAATAAAGTAATGGGGCCTTTTTTTAGACAAAGAAAAGTTCTGAGCAAATTTGGACTGAACCTAAAAATTAGGTTTTTTTTTAAATTAAAAAAAGTTTTTTTGGGTGGATTTGTTATCGTCCCTAACTTTCATATCCTTGAATGGTTTTATTTTGGAGAATTCCAACAATTTTTATTTGGTTTGATTTGTTATTGAAGTGTTAATGCAACGTCGGTCTGTACCTATCGCCCAATTACTTTGCTAATGTGGATTTGTTATCGACGTGGAAGTGCCACATCAAGTTGGGACTAGATCACGCTGGTATATTTGTGAAAATAAATTGAAATTTGCTGATTTTTTTTACATAAAACAAAATTCGGGACAGATTTAGAACTGAACTTAAAGTTTGAGGTTTTTACCGAGACAAGAAAAAGTTCATGGCAGATTTGGAACTTGACCTAAAGTTTAGGATTTTTTCTAAAACAAAAAAAAGTTCGGAACAGATTCGAGACTCGACCTAAAGTTTGGAATTTTTTTAGGGAATTCACCCGATTTTAGTATCATTTCTTGTCAGATTCACTTTTCTTTCCTTTTTGCTATATGGGAATTCACACTACATCAAATTATTAAGGATTAATACAACTAAAAGTGATAAATTGGACTGGTTTTGAGACATTTACTCTAAACTAATTCTCCTTTTACAAAAATCTTAAACTAGTATTCTACGACACATTTATGCAATTTAATTTTCTCACGAAAATTCTGAAACTGATACCCCTGACCCAAATCTACCATCCGTCAACAGTTTGGCATCAGATGTAGGAGATATTAGTGCAGGGTTTTACATGAGACGAAAATTAATTTTGGATAAATGTGTCGTCAGGTAGTTTGAAATTATTTTAGAGACGAAAATTATTATGGGATAAATATATCGTACAATACTAGTTTGGAAGTCTTGATGGTTTTATGCTAAGAAACCCTTGTTCCGTCTGCTAAAAGAAAAGCGACTAAACCTTAAGAAAGGAGATAAGATTCAAGAAAAGTAGCTTCTGCCGCATACAGAGCAGCCAATCTAGCTCAATATTCTACAAAAGAGAGTTCAGCAGAGCACGTGTTTACCATTTATCATTTTGACATGAAGTGATATATAAATCCAGCTGATTACGAATTGGAATATGAGATGGAGAAGATCAGACAGCAGCCAAAGACGGAGAATCTCAATCTAAGTTCCCAATTCCTAACTTTTGTTCAATTCTCTTTTTCTTTCTTCGCCATAGACTTTCTTCAGTCAGGACAAAAAGGTTTCGTTCCCCTATAACGTGTGGGGCAAGCAAAAGATCTCCGGCGTCATCGATCATTTTCCAGGATGATAAGCTTTTATATCATTTAGGTCTGAAATTCTAATGGTGTTCTTGACATTGGAGACACGTTTCGTATTCATTAGCTTGTTTGGTACGGATGTGACTTTGATTTCATTCTTGTTAAGAAACAGTAACTTTTGAAGCTGTTAAGATTTACTCCCAACAAAAAGAAAGGAAGAGTATATGCTAAAGAATATGTCAGATGCAATGTTCACCCCAGGGATGATTCTGAAATCCTTTTGCATCTATCTATAATCGCTTACTACTAATTTCTATTTCAGGCCTTCATAGTATGATGGTAATAGTTATTGGTATAGAATAGCATAGTTAAAAGCATAGTATTATAATATGGTTAATTCCAAGAAAAACCCAAAATCGGTACAGCTGTGACAAATTTAATCTAAACTAATTTTATGATCTTCGAAAAACCCAAACTGATATACCTCTATGACAATTTTATCCTCTGTTAGTTTCCGTTAAATTTTACCGTCAAATTTCTGAGTTTGATGACATATGGTTGATGATGGGTGTACCAGTTTGGGGTTTTACCCTCCGTTTGTCACGAGTGTACCGGTTTATGATTTTTCGTGATATTAATCCAATTTAATGGATGGTGAATTTGTTACAAATGTATCAGTTTGGGATTTTTTGAGGTCAAAAAATTAGTTTTTGGTCAATTTGTCACAACTGTACCAATTTAGGGTTTTTGATTGTCAAAAAATTAGTTTATGATAAATTTGTCATAGGTGTACCAATTTAGGGTTTTTCATGGTGTTAATACATAATAAAATAATAATTAGCACTGTACCTATGGAAATTATCATATAACCTCATGGCTGGGCCAAGAGATCCAGGGCCCTCCTAGCCCACTGAAGTTCTGAAAGGAAGCCCAAAAGGATTGGAGCTTAAACTTACGTTCTTTAAGCGGGTTCCAATGTTTTGCTGCTCATTTTGCTAATAGATATTCTAATCTTCTTAGGATTTGTCAGATGCATGTTCTTTCGTTATTTTTACACTTTCTGTAAAGGACAAAATGTTCTTCCTTCTCTAACCGGTATTCTGATTAGTAAGATACAAACAAAGACATCTTGCACATTTATGTTCAATTTACATCACATATGGTTAATGTCAAATTTTGTAATCCACCAGTGAAAAACAAAAAATGGTTCGAGCAAATTTCGTGATCATCGGCCCAGCGGCCCATTGGCTAGCCCAGGCGGGGCTAAGGCACAATGTTTAAAGACATTTTGAACGGGTTTGGGCAACGACATAGAGCGATAAAACCCAACCCTACCAAAAAATTTGTATATACAAAATTTATGATGATGGGCGGTCATGTGTATAAATTTAGGCCTAACTTTGAAGTCCGATCAGATCCCAACCTGCCGACTGATCACTTTGACATCTAACTAGAAATGGAGAAAAATACAACTTTTGTAATTACATACATATCGCATCACCATCCGATTACAACAGATCTCCCAGCTAGTTACCTACGTGATAAAGCTTAATGGTACTTATATCAGACCTTTGCCTCATCGTCACTAGGGCTATACCCCTACCTTCCATTTAATCTTGAAAATTATCCATCTTATCTTTTTCAATTAAACTCAATTTATAAGAATAAGTATATTGAGTTTCTCCATCGGTTTATAGTTGGCCCCCCATGACTTACTTTGCTAGATACATTCCGGATCCAACCAATTATTAAGTATTTTTCCAATTGAAAAAATCTCTAGGCCGGGTAGAGCCGTGAGCATGTCAATAACTTGTCTTTATTTCCTTTTTTTATGTCAGAAGTCCTTATTCCTTTAACGCCCCAAAAACTTAGAGCAGCATCATTGTCTTTTTTTTGTTCTTCGGAACTTTTATTGATCTTCAACAAAAACGATTGAGATAAGAAAAATATTAAAATTTTAATTCAGAATATAAATTTACCCTTCTTGAGAACATAATACTACACCACAAGTAAGATTGCAAAGAACAGATGTAGTTTTGTCTGTCGTGTGCCCGTAGGACATACAAAAGTTCGCACCCTAGCACCCGTACGACAGAGGCAGCCACCATCTCCCTCGCTCTTCGGTTCGTTGCCACACCACCCGTCACTGTCCCGTCAAGCCGTGCGATCCACCACCACCAATGGGGCCAACGCGACGATCCCTCCGTCCAGCCTCTCTCTCTCTCTCTCTCTCTCTCGCTCACCCTTTCTCTGCCTCTATCACGCTCAACCACTCTTTCTTATGCCCTCGTCGCTGTTATATATAGTAACGGCCAAATTGATTTTTGGTGATAATACCTTTAACCGATTAATGCTAGAGGACAAAAAGAAATCAAGAAAGCCGTGAATTAGGGTGCGCTGCATGTTCTCTACCAAATTCAAGAATGAAGGGTGCTCACATTTCTTCAAGAAGAGCTGCTGAAGACATTTGTTGCCGCATATATTGTTTTTTGGCATTGTATGTTCGTACTTATTGTGTATTTATTGTTGGCATATGTGCTTAGGACAACCGTACGTTGAGAAAAGTTTGGTTGGGGTTATTGAGTGTGGTGGTGAACTTAGAATGTGGGTAGGGTCATTTTTGGAAGGAAAATGATGCTTTTGTAAATGGGGCTAATACCCTAAAAAACCTCTAAATTTAACTTTTATCACAATTTTATCTTTTGTCTCATAAAAAACTTCCAACTTTAGGTATAGTCCCAAATCTACCATAAATTTTTTTTGTCCCATAAAAAATTCTTAACTTTAGGTCATGTCCCAATTTTACCTTAAATTTTTTTTTGTTCTATAAAAAACTGCCAACTTTAGGTCTTGTCCCAATTTTACCCTAAAATTTTTACAGTCTCAAAAAAAAATCACAAACTTTTACTTGAGTCACAAATCTGCCCTCATTAACCTCCATCCAAAATTTCTCGTTCACAACCGAGAGATAGAAAACTTCCAAGCACGAGCTGTTCGAGCGTCCCGAGCGTGAGCTCTCCGACCTTGAGAGATGGAACATTTCCGAGCACGAGAAATTGAAGATCGAGCGCAAAATCAATAAGGGCGATTTTGATAGAAGGTTAATGGAAAACAAATTTGAGACTCAAGTAAAAGTTGGTAATCTTTATAAGAAAAAAAATTAAAATGAAATTGAAACTAGACTTAAAGCTGGGATTTTTTTATGAGACAAAAATATTTTAGCGTAGAATTCATACTGGACCTAAAGTTGAGAGTTTTTTATGAGATAAAAAAAAAGTTCAGGGTATAATTAAGATTGGATCTAATGTTGGGATTTTTTTACGGGATAAAAAAAGGTTTATTATAATTTGGATATGATCTAAAGTTTGAAGTTTTTTTTAAAAAAAAAGTAAAATTGAGATAAAAGCTAAAGTTAAAAAGGTTTTTAGGGTATTAGGGCAATTGAAGACATGATAGTGACTGATGGCAGGGTGCAAAGTGGTACTTGGGGAAAAAACTCAAGGTGCAAAGATGTACATATATTAAATTCTTTTTGTATTCACCCAAGTCAATTCAATGCAGATTATTCCAGGACTATCATTTGATCAATGTATTGTTAAATGATGTGATAGATTCTTTCTTGACGCTGAATATAATCTACTTGTTAAAAAAGCCTGCTTTGGCTTTATGACATTATTTAATAAACTAATTTTAGAGAACTTCATATTCTTCGCCATATTCCTTTTTAGGTCATGCAATAATCCGATTTTACTAAAAGAGAGTTTAAAAGTAGAGTGTCCACCTAGCCAATTAGATATGGAAAGATGGAAAATCTTCATGCACATGGTGTTTTCTTGGTCAATTTTTTGAAAGGTAATACCCAAGGTAAGGCGGATGAATTCATTTAATTCTCCAATAATCATATGCCACATTAAATGTTAAATCAGGTCTCATAAAACTAATTGGTACATATGTATTCGTCTTAATTAAATTACAATCAGTGCACGATACAATCTCATGTTTGGATGCAAATCCACCTATCCCGCTCTAGTCCCATAAGTTGTTTCCAAGCACAAGATTATGACTCAACAGCTCGGCCTGATAGGTAATGATGGTTGGGCCCAAACTAGGCGGCCGCGGCTTCAACTGTGGCGATGGCAGGGTAAGTGCGACAATCGGGCAAGAGGCGCATGAGGGAGGTAGAGAAAGGAGGATTTTTTTCGTGTGCTAGGGTTTGTGGCATTTGGATCAGGTGAGGTGATAAATATAATTGGATGGACAGTTGATGCGATCCCAGGATATAGACAGCATGTGGGTTCACGATAAGAACCAAGTGAGCGGCATCCCTCGTCTCGAACAAACACGCACTGTTTAGGGAAAAACTTCAATGAGAGACCTCAAACCAAACATAGGAGTTATCTTGTACCGTCTGAAACCGGCCTCCAAGAAAAGCTTTTCCCACTCTTTCTCGGTCCTCTCTCTTCCTGTGGCCACCGTCATCATCAACACATCGAAGAAGAGCTTCGTTGCAGTTTCTTCTGGAGCATCGTCCTCAGTCTCACTTATCACAATGTCCATGATTATTACCTTCCCTTGCTCGTTGTTTTTGTCGCCAATTGCTTCTTTGCATTTTCTCAGCACCTTCACACAGTCCTCGTCGCTCCAAGCGTGTAAAGTCAACTGTGATCAGCGAATGGTGCATCCAGTTAGAAGAACATATGCAACACAAGAAAACTTTTCAAATGTTGACCCACTTGTGTTGGAGATTATGGAATCCAACTAATGCGTATGAAGTGGGAAATTCGTCAATGTGACATCAAATCTGTTGACTGGACAATGGAAAAATTTCACAGTAAAATGTTGAAAGTACATTAATGTCCCAGTGGAGAGTGAAGCTCTACAATATTTATATCTCTATTTAAAGTAGCGATAAGTACATCTGCTGGCCTTAGACTTTTGAGGAAAATGATTTATTTGACATGGTATTAGAGCGCATGTCACAAACTTAAATCTCGATACTCCATTTTGCTAAAATATTTAAATATTAAATAATATCTTCATTAAACAGCTTAAACTTTTAAAAAAATTGACAATTATTCCACAACATCTCATATGCTATCAAAATAGGATGACCTAAGTTCAAATCTTTCAGGCCCCTATTTGCCTCCCTAATTACATATATCCACGCTTTGAGTTGGCTTTCTTGTGGGGGGAAGTGTTGGAACCGCACCTTAATCTAAAGCTTAAGCTTTTAGCTCACAGGTTTCATGAGAAAATTACCAAAAAAATGATAAATCCATTGTACATATGTCAATTCAATTATAAATTTTTTAAATTTGGCCAATTTAATCCTAAAATTTTGATGGCTTGCCAATTTGGTCATTCCGGCCAATTTTTGCCGAAATTAGCTGGCGTGTATGTCAGCCATCTTACGTGTAGCGGCGAGAGCTAACGTTGACAATATTTTAATTTAAAAAATAAGAAAGAAAAAATGGAAAAAATAAAATGACTACATTGGTAAAGCATCCACATTGGCGCCATCATCCACGTCAACGGTTTCATACCAAAAGGATTACATTAGCAAAGCGTCAAAAGGTTATAACTGAATTTGCCAAATCGAAAAGTTTACGATTGAGTTGGCATTATACAATTGGTTTAGGACTTTTTTCGTAATTATCCCCACATTCACACAATCCTCTTTGCTCCAAGCGTGTACATGGCATTATCTATGGTCAATAATGGACGCATCCAACAATGGATAGAAATATGCAACAGACTATTCAAATGTTTAAGTCCACAGTCAAAAGCTCATGAACGCGACATTAAATTTGTTGACTAACATCAGAGAGTTCCACTTACGAATGTCCAAGCCATTGGATTAAATATGAATACATGTGAGACTTCTCACATCGTTAGTGATTTAGACTCACTCAGTCAATAATGAATTCACACTCGCAGGCAAAAGTTTCTAAAATCCACCATCTCATGTTGGGAAATTAAAAGCGATTAACTTGATATGCAAAGTAAGAACCACAGCCAATTGCCAACTGGGAAATGCTATACTGCATACCTTGAGTAAAATCGCATCTGTAGAAGGAATGGACTCAAACATATCACCACCAACAAACTTCAGAGTCTCACTATCCGGCAAGCCAGCAACCACCTGCGGGAGATCGAGCACCGTGCACTTCAACCCCGGACACGCCTTGGAGATTATCCTCGCCACGATTCCTGTGCCGCCTCCGACGTCCACCAAAGAATTTAACCCTTCGAAGATCTCTTTACAATCCTGAATAACCAAATTCATCATCTGAGAATCACTGGCCATTGCTCTATTGAATGTATTCCCAAATTCAGGATTCTTCCTCCCATAGTCCCATAGATCGCCTCCATGTGCAGCCACAAAAGGATTGATTAATTTGTCTCTGCAACCGATGTCGTTATTTCCTTGGAGCCAATCTCCAAGAAAATGCCAAGGAGCCACAAGAGCTGGATCGAGCATGGCCGCGACGAACGGCGAGAGCCCCACGACCTTATCACTCAAAAGCAAACGCGAAGAAGGCGTCGAGACATAAGCCTTAACTTCTTCTTCTTCTTCTCCATTCTTCGGAATGAGGGTCTCTGCGAAAATGCCCGAGTGAACCAAAACGCGCATGAGGCGGTAAAGGCATGTTGATTTGGACGGGTGGATTCGGAGCACCGAGGCCAGCTCGAGGAGGGTCATGGGTCGCTCGTGGTCGTGAATGACGTCAGGGATGCAGAGTTGGACCGCGCATTTGAGAGACATGGAAGAGATGAAGTTGAAGGTGTGGTTGTAGAGGTGGGATTGAGCTTGGAACATCTCTTTGGCTTCAGCTTCAGGAGAGTGGCTGAGATGATGCACGGTTTTGTTGTGAACAAGACTTGATGAATCGGGCATGAATCGGCTGTGACAGTAGAGTGAGAAATTCCTGGTTCTGAAGAGAAGCCGATGGTATAAGTTCATAGACATGGCTTTTTGCTTGCCTGAGAGGCGGGTTGACTGATACTATACTGATTCAAGCAGAAGGCTATATATTCTCTAGAGTGAAGCTATTATTTGGAACATTGGTATGGCCAATTCCAAGTACATGCACTAAAAATTTACCTGATTATCAGACCAGAAGTGATATGATCGTAGGGAGTTTCTAGCAGACAAATAGGAACAGTAGCTTGTGACTTTGAGACGGAGTTGAAAAGGATGCCACAATGAAATCCCAGCCAGTTCCTCTGAGGTAGAAAGCGAAAGCTCGCCACATGTTGTAAGTTTTCAAGATCATACAACATCAAAGGACCTCGTGTTGTTTTTTTTTTTTTGGTCAGAAAAGGACCACTTGCTGTGACTTTTAGTTATATGTCCTTTCAAAGTTCGTGTCCTTTTTTCTTTCGTTTGCCCTATCACATCTTCCTAACCATACTTCAGCAAATTTATATTATTTTTTAAATTGAAGAGTGAACGACATCCTAATTTTAGTTTACAAACTTAGTTAATCATAAGTAAAATAGTGCTAGACATACAAAGACACTACTACTAAATTTGTTTATCGGTGATCTGGCATTGTCATCTTCATGTTCTTAAATGGGCCAATATAAGTTACCATTAACAAAAGTGCCGCATCACTTACCCAGCTGATGAGTCTTAGCAATTTTACCGTTGCTTTATTAGGTAATATCATATAATATCCGTAATATTGAATATCTTGTTAAAAGAACTACTTTAATTTGTCACATCATTTAATCGAAACAATATATAAGATTTCTACACAATGTTGCTTTTCAGTCATGTAAAAACCCAAGTTTACAAAAATGAGAGGTGTAGAGCTAGTCACGTAGGTGTGGAAAATGAAAGATTCACGCATAGGTATCTTTTGACCAATTATTACTTCAAGATATGGGGTCCCAAATAAGGGGATAGGTTCATAATTCACCGAAAAATTTAATATTATTATTAGGTCGCGTTGAATGTAAAAAAAATTACACATTGATGGTCAGGTAGTGACATCTAAATCTAGACATAATAATAATCCATAAGCATATAATAAAATATCAGGCAAGATTTAATATAAGTTCTTAGTACATACATGGTAGGATTCTTAACGAAATCACAAGAGTGCTTGCAAATGGACACAAGTTCAATCTCTAAGGAAAGACTTCAATGAGAGACCTTAATTCAAACATAGGAGTTATCTTGTGCCGTCTGAAACCGGCCTCCGAGAAAAGTTTTTCCCACTCTTTCTCGGTCCTCTCTCTTCCGGGGCCCACCGTCATCATCAGCATATCGCAGAAGAGCTTTGTCGCTGTTGCTTGGGCATCATCATCCTCAGTCTCGCCTATCACAATGTCCATGATTATCACCTTCCCCCGCTCCTTGTTCTTGCCAGCGATCGCTTCTTTGCATTTTCTCAGCACCTTGACACAGTCCTCGTCGCTCCAACCGTGTAATAGCAACTAAGTTATCAGCAGATACACCCAATTACTTGATGGAGTTGTGGAGTCTGATAGAGAAATTGTAACTTTGAAGCTTATAATGCTGCTAATAGTGGAGAGATTGCCAAGCGCGATATCATGATTTTTCCCTTATTATTTTGAAAGGGTTTTCCACATAAAAATTGCATGTTTTTTGTTCTACTTTTTCTCATCAAAAGATTCGCGTTCCTAACATTACTTAGTAGAAACTAACCAACAGAAGAAGAGTTATGGTCTCCGAAATTGTCATGCTTCGTAGTGAGGTCGCTTTTGTTGGGTTCTTCAGATTCATGTTAGGGCAAGGAGGCGATTCTGTTTGATTTCCGTGCTCCTTGGTAAGTTTCGAGGATTCTTTTCTTTGGAGCCGTGAGTGAAATTTGGATTTGAACGTTTCGAAGAAAGAATTTGAGAAGAAAGAGGCAGAGAGTACGAGACAAATGATCATGGCTACAAGGATTCCGCTGTAAAGCGAGAAAGTAAGAGACGTCCAGATGGATTTCTGGTCTGAAAGGGAAGAGTGTAAATTTTGAGGTTTCTAAAATCATAAAGCACTCCTAATTTGCTAAAAGAGGAGTTCAATTTGAAAAAAAATTGAAAAACAAAGCAACCCTCAAGGTATTAACTTAAAAAGAAATATGCAGAGAAATCTTGATTAGATGAGATATGATAGATGAGAGAGAAAAGCTCTGCAAAATAATAATGGATAAATGCACTAGAAATTCTAAAACTTATCATAAAAGTGCAATTAAATACTAAAACGTGCAAAAAGTGAAAAATGTTGACGTGACTTATTTTTATTATTTCTCTATACTACATGGAAATAACGTGACTAAAACAATGCCATTTTGGCCCAAAACTAATTTTTAATACAAATTTTATTTAAATTAAAATTTAAAAAATAAGCTAAATTTACTAAATAAAGAAAGGAGAAACTAAGCAGGGAGGGCTGCAGGCCCATGCCACTGCTGCCCCACCATCGCCGGGAAGGGCCGGATAAGCAAAAGCCCCAAATTAACTTTAGAAATCCTAACCAAAGCTCCGATACCAAATGTTGTAAAATAATACGGAAGCTAAAGAATTTTACAATTCAAGTCTGACGCAAGAAGAAGAAATCACTAGAGAAATAAATGAGAAACAATCAAAAAAACACTAGAGATTACATGGTTCGATCTAAGGGTTGATACCTACTTCACTGGCAGAGCTAATCGCCATGAAATCTACTATTAATAAGAAGAATATATAGTTGCAATCGCTCAAGTATTTTCAATCCTAGATTACACCAAAAGTAATAACTACAAGTATTATCTAATAATTTCTCAAAGAGAATTGACTCAAAAAACTCACAAAAAGAAAACTCTAAGAGTCCGCTTATTTGCTCGAGTGTGCAATACTAAACAGAATTTCATCTCTTATATGTATAACATTTGTATCCAAAATAGGAAACATTTTTAGAAAATCTACTCAAACTAGGAAACCATTGAATTTAAAAAACCAATTCAAACTAGGAAACCACTAAAATTAAAAAACCTCCTCAAACTAAGAAAGCAACTTGGATTGGTTTCCTTTACGAGCTCAAATTCGAGACATATTCTCAACATAATTAATAATTGAGATTCACACACTCGACAATGAATTCAATCTAGCACGCAAAAATTTTTATAATTCAATGTCCTATATCAGGTAATCTTTGTGAAAATGAAAATTACGTATTGCAGATGCCGAATTAGTTTCTTTCTAAATAATCAGATGCTATCAACTTATTATGCAAATTAAGATCCACATCCAATTTAGGGAAAATTCCAAATAAGGGCCCGAAATGCCTTCATTTTCTCAAATAAGGGCCCGAAATAATCAAATCGTCTCAAATAAAGACTTTTAGCCAGCTGGCCAACATGTGACTATTCCAACAAGGGATATTTTAGTCAAAAAATTCTAAGGCTGTGTTCGTTTGCGGAAAAATATTTTTCTGGAAAACATTTTCCGCGTTTTCCGGTGTTCGGGGGCGGAAAATGTTTTCCGTGGGAAAACATTTTCCTTCCCCACCCCCAAATCCTTCATTATTTTGAGGAAAATAATTTCCTCTTTTCACAAAGAGGAAATCATTTTCCTCCAAATTGAAGGTAAAATTGCCTATGGGAGGGAAAATGTTTTCCGCGGGAGAGGAAGTTGATCGCGGTCACCGCCGTTGGCCGCCGCCCGCCCGCCGCCCGCCGTTGGTCGCCCGCCGCCCGCCCGCCGCCCTCGTTGGTCGCCCGCCGCCGCCCCGCCGCGCCGCGCGTGCCGGCGTCCGCCGCTGTCCGCCCGCCGCCGCCGGACGCCACGCCCCGCCCGCCGCCCACCCGCCGGCCGCGGACGCCAGCCCGCAGCCCGCGAGCCGCGGTCGCCGCCGCCCGCCCGCCCGCCCGCCGCCGATCGCCCGACGCCGCCGCCGCCGCCGGCCGGCGATCGCAGCGAAAAATATTTTCCGAAACTTTTCATATTGATCGCCGAACACCGGAAAAATATTTTCCAAAAGGAGAATATTTTCCGCCAAACGAACGGGGCCTAAGTATATATATTTTTATTTATTTTTACTTTTCTTTTCTTTTCCTTTTCTTTTTCTTTTCTTTTCTTTTTTCTTTTTTCGTTTTCCCTCCCTCGGCCATCGCCGTGCCTCGTCGATGGCTGGCAGAGGTCGCCGGGCCTGAGCAAGGGTCATATGACATTCCGAATTTCGACCCACTTTTGGGATTTATAAAACGTGTAATTCGTCAGTGTGCTTATAGTAAAATCTCGCCCGGAAACTGATCACTCCCAGTTATTGCTTTTAAAATTGAGATTTTTAGAATCTTGTTCGATCGAATTTGGCCGTTATTTAGAGCCCAAACTTTGGTGTCGAATTTCTCGGAGTCGGAACAATTTAATTGGACGGTGTCGATATTAGTGTGGCCAATCTCGATATTACCGGGATACGTGAAAAGTGAATTTTTGGCCGGGTGCGAATTTGGATTGGTAGGCCACCTTCGCAGTGTGTTTTTATTCAACACCCTTTTGGCCAAATCCTAAAAATATTAATTAGGATTTTTCGGGGACCGTTAGATCGTTTCCGGATTTAAACCGTGGCCGTTGGATCCCGATTATTGCGATTTGACTACTCTCTCTCTCTCATCCCCTCTTTTCCGCCGATCCCCTCCCCTTGCGTGTCTGACCTCTCCCCCACCTACCCCACCAACTCTCTCTCTCTCTCTCTCTCTCTCTCTTCCTTTTCTCATTTTTCTTTTTCTTTTTCTCCTTTTCTTCTTTTCTTCCTTCTCTTCCTTCCCTTTCTTCCTCCCCCGACGTTGATTGTTTCTGGTTCCGCTCCGCTTCTGTTCCACTCGCGACCGCGCCTCGCCGGGACCAGCTCAGCCACCGCTCGCCGCTCCGCCGTCGCGCCACCCCAGCCCGTCCTAACCGCCACCGTGCCGCCTCCGACCGCCATCCCGACTCCCCTCTGGCCGAGCTCGCCCCTGCCCAGCCCACTCGCTGCCGGAGCCGGCCCCGTTGTCCATCTCCGCCGCTCGCCGCCACCGTCCCGGACGTCGCCGCCGCTGTCCCAGC